TAAAATAGAAGGCACGTTTTTGTGAATAGCATTGAAATCGCTTTCAATCTATAAAATAAATATAATTCTAAACATGAAGTGGTTATAAATTAAAAGTAACCTACAAATTTATATCCGTTCGAGCCCTTATATTGTGGCCACAGCTTTAACGCCTCTTTAATATTTTGACACTCATTTCTAATTTGATTTAAACGAAATTTAACACATGCAGCCCAAGCTGAATTAAATTCGTCAGCGGTCAAATTATCGAACTTTATTTTCTGGAGGAATAATTGTGCGTCATCTTCTGGTTCTGGAGAGTAGAAAAATACACAAATTAATACATGAAAATAACTTATTTTAGACATATAATATACATACCAATGACGTCTTTTAAATCCGAAATGTTGTCAGAACTGGATTCACAATATTTAAAAAATTTCGACTGCTTCTTCTTATTGTAGTACTTCACATATATCTTTCCTCGTCGTTCCGTTCTATAATATTCCAATTTTTCCGATTGAAAGATTTGTAAAATTTGTCTTTCTATTTCGTAACTAGTTTGAAGTGACATTTGTAAATTCTTTGACTCGAAATGTTCAACAATAATATTTATTAAGCATGAACGTTGCACTTCTGTGATGAGATGTATTTTTTCGTAATATTCTAAAATGTTGCACCCATTTGTGTGTTGTTTTAAAATGTCCAAAACTATTATTTTAGAATTTTGAAACTCGAATTCGCTGCAAGAAGACTGAGACAGTGAAAAAGGTGATGAAACGGTTTTGGATTCCTGAGAGTCACTCAAGGTTTGTTGATTCATTATGGGGATGTTATTCTCCGCCCTCCACTTTTGTAAATTGTATTTAAAAATGATCTTGTCGCCAATTTTCATTTGCTGAGTAATTTCAAATAAGTCATTAACAGACATAATGGAAAGGGCATGGTTTGTGATGTTTTGTTCTGAAAAATATATATTTTAATAGTGTGTTTAAATTTTTACATAATTATTAATAATGTTTACCTTGAAAAAAGTTTATGAGGTGATTTAGGCCCCAAGAAGTTAGTAGATTTTGTAACGTGTTTTTTTGAGTTTCTTCATCTAAAAAAAATTTAAAAGTATTCTTTAGTGCGTATCATAAATTTCCCTTTTGATGTATTAATAATAGTCGTCGGGGGTCCAACTAATGAATCAGTATTGAGAAGAGCAAATTCCCCTATGTCGTTTGGGTTAATTTCAAATGCCGTGTAATGCTTAAGGTATATTGTATTACAGACTTCTTGAACGAATAGATACAATGATTCATCTGAAACAATTGCATTAATGATTTTATATATTTTATAATCTTGTGTTCTGGTTGCAACAAAAAATCCTTTTTTGTACAAAACATTATTATATATTACTTTGTCATATGCTTTTATAAGACTTTTGGGTTTCTTAAGTTTACATGATATAAAATCAAGAAATGGACTGTCACTTTTGTCATTATCCAAGCAACTATAGCTTGATTTTATATTAATTTCTGAAAGTAAATAATTTGAAAAATAAAATTGGTACTTGCGTGCTATGGATACGCTAACGTTTTTTCTGGAAGTAATGGAATGTGAATAACTTTTAAAAATGCGATGTCTTGCTTCGAAATGAAAACTCCAAAATTTTCTCACAGGTCCACATAAAGCAATGACATCGGGATAATGGGTTAAAATATGAAATTTTGGTTTCAAATTTTCTTTAAAAAGTTTTAAATATAATTTATTATGGTTTTCAATATTAACTTTGAAAGCATTAATTGAAGAGGCATTTATTTTAAACAACAATATAAAGTCTATTATCTCAATAAGAAGCAATATAAACAGCCAAACTTCATCGTCAGAAGGTACCAAATCCCCTACCATTATTGGAAAAAATATGACGAAAGTCAGCATTTCACGAGCAGACATTCTCAAATGTTTTTTCTTGATATGAGTTAACAAAATATTTTGAGATATATTTCCAATTTCTAACTCGCCATATTCAAATTGTGCTTTTCTTTTATTTAAAATTTCTAGCGAAAAATATTTTTTTTCTTGAATAAAATACAATATAGCATTGGTCATGTCATAATGACATATTCCCTCCATGACATCATGCATTGCATCAACACTCATATTATCTACAACGTGAAATGATGGTATTCTGTTAAATATGCATTTTTCAGAAATGCCGCTTTCTTTAGCATTATTTTCTTGCACATGTAAATTATAATTTTCATATGTTCGGCGCAATTCGGGTAATGTTGTGGGGGTTTTCTGACTATCCGTCTTACTTATTGTGCAAAAACGACAAAATGTTGTGTTAAATGATTTTGAAAAACCTAATAAGCTATTTAAACCTAAATTATCTCCTAAAATAAGAATAGGTATGAAGTGTGGGTGAAACTCTTCCCCATTTGATAACCTTATTTTTACACCGTCTACTTCCAAACTTATCATTTCATCAATTAAGGGCTTTAAGCATTTTTTTTTACCAATAGTTTTTATATCTTTGGAATTAATAGCAGAAATAAAGAACACATTTTGTAGTTTTGTGTCATTAGGGAGACAAGGGAAACTATAATAAAAGTTGCAAATTGTATTTGCAGAATGAGATCCTAATGGATTGTTGATTTCTAGATCATCGGAATATAAAAAGTATGGAAGAACAATTTCATTTGGATATAGCTCACATTTCTTTTTCCAAAGATCTCCCTGTACAATATTTTGTAAACAGTCACTAGAAGAGACATTTGAAATAAACTTTAACATATCTATAAAAACATCGTCTTTCTCAAGAATTTTTTTAAAACAATACCTCATGGGCATAAATGCAATTTTTTTATTGATTTGTGCATATTCCAGCTTACCTTTCTTATGAGTCATTGATCCACTTGAATCGACAACCACTTCCTCAATCGATTGAAACAAATCCTCCTCCATAAGTTTGGTTTTCAGCAAATGCTCCGTTTTTATAGTAACAAAGATCTTCTGAATATCTTCTGTAAATTTAGTAACTTGTAAATAAATTTCATTGCTGAGAGTTTGTCCAAAATTACAAAACATAGATAAAAGGGGCTGGATTATTAACTTAAACATGTTTTCATTTATGTTTTCTGCATCTTTTCTTGAAAATTGGAAGTTTGAATATAAATTACTCTGAAATATTAAACAATTTTTAAGTAATGTATTAAAGCATACATTTTCTTTTGAATTTTGATTTTCCTCATGCCCTTTTGCTCTACTATATTCTGTTTTATAATTTTCACAATTATTTACAAAAGTTTGCTCATTATTTACAACACTTTTTATATTTGTACAAGTAGAATTATTTTGACTTGAATGTTTTGTTCTGACATGTTTTCTGAAAGACGACGAATTCTTATAAATGCTTCCGCAGCATTTATAATCATCATTATATTTCAGAAAATGATAGCGTTTTAAATGATTAAAGTAGCTTTCATTTTCATTAAAAACGTTTTTGCACAAAAAACACTTCATTATTATTAATTACCAAATTAGATTTTGATCACTATTTAACTTTTTATAAACACCAAATATATTTTTTACTCAGCACCTCTTCACTTTTTGACTGTTTAAAATAAACTAAAAATAAACTCTCAAAAACAGGTGGTGATGCAATTTATGTTGTTGTTGTAATTTTTTTATACATGTCGCGTTATGTTCCAACTCTATTTTATTTTTTGCACTTCTTACGTGTTGTTGTTGTACCAACCCTCAAACACAGCATCAACTAATTTGATGCTGTGTGTTGTTGTTGTACAAATTATTTTTTTCACTCCTGTTTGTAAGAAATAAAGTGGCATAGAAACTCACAAAAATCAGAAGTTGATATAATGTATTATGTTGTTGTTGTACCAACTTAAAACACAACTGATTTTTTGTCTCCATCAGCATCAACATTCTCTTGTGTCCCGTTATTTATTTTAGAAACTTTCAATATAATGCAACTTTACGTTGTATTGATAACCAAATTGTTGTATTTACTATTATTATATTAAATACTTACTATTTTTTAATGACACATTACGTTAAATTAATGATAAAATCATTGTATTTACTATAAATTGTCATTAAAGATACATTTGTCCGTTATAATTTCTTAGCAAATAAATATAATGACACATTACGTTATATGAATGACAAGTTACATTAATTTAATCACATGGTTTCATTAACATTACGTGATTGTTAAAAAACTTGTTTAAAATGTTAATGTAAAATGACATAATTTGTGGCGTTTTTCGTCTCATTAATGACAATTTATCATATTTGCAAAATAACAAGAACTAAGCCACTTTAAAGCTAAAAACTACATTAATTCGGTTCCTTTATATATAATTTTATTTTATATATGTATATATATTTGTTTATTTTTTGATATTTTATCAAACTAAAATTCGAAAACAAAAAATACATTATTGCTACGTAAATATTTCATTAAATATTGAAGGGGTGCTGTATTTCTTACAAATATTACTATATTTACATAAAAACAATTAGGATCTGTCAATTAAACCTTTTTTAGACCAAACAATTAATTTAGGAAATATTCGTTATTCAATTTATATATTAAATCTCACGTTAAAGTTTTACGTAATATTAACGTAAAAAGTTTCGTAGCATTAATGACACTACGAAATACCAAAAAATAATAATTTTGTTTGAATTGTAATATTAACGTAACTGTTGTAAATACAACGTAAAATTTCGTAGCATTAACGAAACTTTTCATTGCATTAACGTAAACAGGTTAACGTAAGAGTTTCATTGGGGTTACGAAGCGTTTTTCTTTCAGTGTGAGAACATCTGCTTCAAAATAATATAACTTATTTAGCCAAAAATGGTTAATAAACCTAAAATAATACTTTATTAATCTACTATAAATCCCTAATTTGGCAAGAAATCGTGATATTTATTTCATATCATAATTATTATTATATTTAACCACTATTTATATATGTACGTATTTCTATCGTTTCTAATAGGGCATCACTCTTAAAATGACCGAAGATGGACGTTGTTTAGTTGCACGTATAATGCACGGTGGCATGATACATCGACAGGCAACACTTCATGTGGGCGATGAAATACGGGAAATTAATGGTCAGTCAGTGCAGAATCAATCCGTGGGACAATTGCAACGAATGCTGGTAAGTTATTAAATTATTTAGAAAAAGAGTGTTGTCGCAATGAATTCGAGCGCATTGCATGTGTATGAGAGTGCTCCAAAGAAAAACTTCTCTATTAAGACTATGTATGTATGTATGTATGTATGTATGTATGTATGTATGTATGTATGTATGTATGTATGTATGTATGTATGTATGTATGTATGTATGTATGTATGTATGTATGTATGTATGTATGTATGTATGTATGTATGTATGTATGTATGTATGTATGTATGTATGTATGTATGTATGTATGTATGTATGTATGTATGTATGTATGTATGTATGTATGTATGTATGTATGTATGTATGTATGTATGTATGTATGTATGTATGTATGTATGTATGTATGTATGTATGTATGTATGTATGTATGTATGTATGTATGTATGTATGTATGCATGCATGTATGTATGCATGCATGCACGTATGTATGTATGTATGCATGCATGCACGTATGTATGTACGAATATACATACTTTTAGTTTTTCCCGATCACTTTGTTTACTTACTTCTTAAGAAGTAAGTGAGTTTTTGTACTTAAATGGCCGTATCTCAGACATTTGTCCAAAAATTTTGAATTTCTTTTTTTTTTTTTTGATTAAAAGACAACACTTGTATCCTTAAAACAAAATATCAGATTTGAAAATCGGTTGAAAACTATAATTTTTCATAGTTAAAACTTCAAAAATAGGTCTTTTTTACATATTTTTTTGCTCTTAAAAAGTAAGTTAACGAAGTGATACGGAAAAACTAAAAGTATGTTCGTACTCTATGGACTATAACGAAATGGAATTGGTATATGAGAACCCCTGCATTTTATTTTTCTTCATTTTTGTATCATAGTGTAATTTTGAATGGGAAAATTACAATAAATAAATCAATTTATGAAAAATTTGGTTACTATCCATTAATTTGCAGATATAAATAATATATTGTCCTACAGTTATACATACATATGTATATGTGCGTCTGATGTCGTAATATTTGGTTTTCATTCTTGGTATGTAGTAATTTAAAAATAATAAAATCATTTACTTTTGCTTATCTTTGGAGCAGTCTAAAACGTGTATATGTATTTGCTATTTTATAAAATATTTATATATTACATCTTTTTTATGTATATTTAATAAAAATTTTTTATTTTCTTTTCAACGCAGCGTGAAGCACGCGGTTCAGTAACCTTTAAAATAGTTCCTTCTTATAGAAGTGCTCCCCCTCCATGTGAGGTAATTATTTACTACTACATATTTAATACTTTAAAATAATTTACGATTTTTGATTAATTATTATTTTGAATGTGTGTATATACTATAGAAGTTCCCAAAAATATCGATTTTATTTTGATCATGATGTAAAATGTTAGTTCAATCGGACATCGGAACCAAAAATCATTTTTCCATACACATTTATTTTTGTATAAAAATGTTTATAAAAATTTTTTTAACTTGCTACAAAAAAACTTCAAATATAGCTCTTTTCCACATCTTTTTCTCTTAAAAATAACGAAACGAAGTGATTGGGACTACTACTACTCTTTGGACCAGAATTGGTATATGAGAACCGTTGCAATTTTTTAGTGTATCACTGTGTAATGGTACCTTTTATGATATTATCATCTAGAGAAATAATCTTTCCAATGAGGTATAAAACATTAAAAATAACAAAGTTATTTAAAATTTCCTTGCCATGCATTTCTGGCATTGTTTTCTCACTTTTTTCATGTAGAAGTTGGGGTAACGAAAATATAGGACAAGCTTGTAAATTATGCATTTTTGTTGTTTTTGTTAAATACATACATACATATACTATATGGTAATTCCATGAAAAGGTAAAACTTAAATTAGAAATAAGTTAAAACGAGTACAAAATGAAAATTACGAAAGTAGACTTAAATACCTCTCACTTGAAATATTAATAATGAAATTCTAACTTGTAGCTTCCGCCACTATATATGGGAAAATTTTTCAGAAATTTGCAAAACTTAAATGCCTACAAATAAAAAACGAGAGCTAACTTTTTTAAATCCTTTGGGGATTTGAGTCTACTGATGGTACACTTTCAATTCCCGTTGGCCTCATCCTGGAAAGATTTTCTTGTTGCACAGTGTAATTGACCATACCTCATAACTAGCTTTAAAACAGCATTTTATACGAAAGTAAACTATTTATTTTTTATGACGATCGGACCATAATTAACCCTACCCCTCATAAAAAATCCTATGCAGAAAATAACTTAAATTTAACATGAACAAGTTTTAAACTAACTAAAATCTACTTACTTATTTTATAAAAAATTTAAATTGACGTTTTCACAAATATTTGAAAAGTAAAAATTTAATTAATTTCAATTTATATGACTAAGAGCGGTTTTTTGAGTTGGCAATTAAATGCCAATTAATAATCAGATTAGTTAATCTAATCATAAATTTAATCTGATGTTAATCCCCTTTGATGTTCTTGAGTACAAGATTAAACTTCGCAGTGTTGCCATACAAAACAACAGAAAATTTCACTTTTTGTTATCAAAACAATGCATGTTTTATAAAAAAGAAAAAGACAATTGTAAATTTAATATGAAAATTAATGAAAACTTAAATTTAAAACCAAAAAATAATATATTTTGAGTGTGCATAATTTATACTAATCAGTAAATAGAACATTTTAATGTTTATATTTATAAAAATTGTATTAATTTTTTTTTGCATCATCTGTTAACACTTTTGCATTTCATGCTTAAGTTTAAACCACCTCCATTGGGCGCTTAAACTTGCAAACAAAATTAACTAATTGAGTACTCAAAGACAACATTCGAGGATTAATTTTAATTTAATCGCAAATGTTTCACCTAAAGATTGGCCCTAACATATTAACACTATCTAAATCTGGTTTAACATTTCACACTCCGTTCAAAAAGTTATTTGAGAATTTGTAAAATGTAAATAAGCGATATGCTACTGAAATACACATATTTTTTATGTTATGTATTTTTTTTTTTTTTTCATTTTGACATCATCATAATTCACTCAAGATTTATGTAGTTGTTTGTAAACACTTAAATTTTTATTTTTTTAATTACTTTGTAATGTATTTGTTTCTCATTAAACTTAACATTCTCATTTCTTTCGCAAAAAAAAAAAAAAAATAAATAATATACTCTAACATCATGCAGCTTTTTAGGATAAGACCAGCACCAGTTCTAGTAAGTGCCTCGAATGGAATATGTATTAAAAACACATCTAATTGTTTAATGAACATTTATAGTTTTATATTTAATTTATGTTTTTTTACTATATTTAATTTAAATAGTAGTATGTAATATCCCATTTATGCCCAAATTGAAATCAAAATCGTTCGATTCATAGATTTTGTTTAATTAATGATTCTCATAAAAGAAGTAATATAAGAAAAACTAAACAAGCAATACTTCTCAGAAATATGGTTTCACAATTTTTAATTTTTATGTTTCGATTTATAGCTTGCGATATAATAGCTCAGGAAAATTAATAAATAAGCAAACTGAAGAAATTTAGATGCCTAGAAAAAAGTTTGCACAGGGTTCGTCTTTTATCCTCAATTAAGGGCCCAAAAGTCACCATTAATTCCACTGGCGCTATTAGTTTATTACAAATATCTTGCTTATTTTGCATTATAGGACTTCTATTGCTCTATCATTTTAGTAGACAAATAAATGTCCTACATTTTGGTTGCCAACTATTTTCGCACATTATTAATTGTTTTCGAGCTATAGTATTAATATTAATCCACTAATTTTTTTCAAATTATATGTATTCATAATTACGATCTGTGACCCTATCAGAAATTTCGATTGATTTTGACCGCCAATATCTTTCATAGCGCACACGAGAAAAGTTTATTTGTCAATTGTTGGGGTTTGTATTAAAACAAATTATATTTTTATAAAATATTAAATAACAAAAAAGTTCTATTTATTTGAAAAGTCAAAGTAAGAATGAACAAATGAAAATTTATTTTTGAAACATGTATGAAATATTTCAATGTACTATTGATATAAATTAAAATTATAAAACAAGTTGTTATTGTTACAAGTGTCTCCAACATCTCCCCTTTTTGAAGTTAGTTGGTAAAACCAAATCTTTCTGGAGATTTCACATTTCGTTTTGGTCTTGAAATACTTGCTGGAGGTTCAGCTATTGGAGTGCTAAATGTAAGTGATGAATGTAATTGATTTTCAGGAGAGCTTGGAGTTGCATTTTCTTCAACTTGTCTTTGTTCTGGAGTACTTGCTGTTACATTTGCTTCAACTAGCCTTACAGGGGGTTGATGGAGTTGAATTTTCATATCTTCTTTTTAGTTGGTTGATATGTGATCTTATTAATTTTGTCTTATTGTCGTATATGTAAACATTATAATTAACATTTCCGACTTTTTCTACGATTGTACCTGGAATCCACACCATTTTGTTGTGCACACCTGTGCATAAACAAGTCTTTTGCTTTAAAATTCCTCTCTTTGGCACCATATTTTAAATTAAATTGTTGTTCCATTTTAATATTTCGTTGAGGTGAGGAAATTGAAAGTTGAGGTTTTAACAAATCTAAAGTTGTTTTTATTTTCCGTTGGAGAAATAATTCAGCTGGAGATTTTGAGTTATCCCTTGGAGTTGATCTGTAAGTCTGTAGGAATATTTCAAGTATCTCATGGCTATTTCCCTCATCCTTAAGTTTTTGAAGAGCTTGATTTAGTGTTCTTACAAATCTCTCTGCCTGTCCATTCGATTGTGGATGATATGGGGCAGTTTTTATATGTGTGATACCACGAGATTTGATAAACTGATTAAATTGTGCGCTTACAAATTGTGTACCATTGTCTGACACAATTGTATCACAATCTCTATACCTGGCGAACATTTCTGTTAGTTTGGCTCTGATTGTTGAAGATGTGATGTTTGAGACTTGATATATTTCCGGCCACTTTGAGAATGCGTCTATTATTACGAAATAATATTGACCAATGCAAGGTCCTGCTATGTCTATATGTAGACGTTCCATTGGTTTTGTTGCTAATGGCCATGACTGTAATGTGTGTTTCACTGGTGCTGTAGCTGCAACTGCACAATTATGACAGTTTCTTACAAAAAATGCGACATCTTCATCTATTCGTGGCCAATAAACATGACTTCTTGCCAATGCTTTCATTCGCTCTTTTCCAGGATGTCCACGATGCAATTGTCTCATGATCTTATTCCTTAGACATTTGGGAATAACGATTCTGTCGTTGTACATTAAACAGTCTTGAACTACTCTTAGACTTTCTCTTCTAGAGTAAAATTGAGTCAGTTCTGGATTTTTATTTGAAGTCCATCCATTTTGTAGTGCATGAATTACTGACTGAATCGTTTGACATTTCTGAGTTGCTTGCTTTACCATGTTGAAAGTTACAGGTAACTGATCAAAATGGTCCATGAGTATGGCTGTGCAATCTTCCTCAAGTGTCGTACAAGCAATGACGATTTCCTCATCTGGTTTTAACTCGGTATCGATTAGTCTTGAAAGCATATCGACACAACCAAATTCTTTTGTGTTTATGTACTGAATCTTGAAATTGTACATCATTAGAGTAAGTGCCCACATCTGCAGTCTATTTGCTGAATAAACTGGAATGCCTTTTTTACTTCCAAAAATAGCTAAAAGCGGTTTATGGTCCGTACACAGGATAAATTTCCTTCCATAAATGTACTTATGGAATTTTTACAGCATATACCAGACCAAGTGCTTCTATTGGGAATAGTTTTTTTCCGCTGGAGTGAGAGTACGGGAAGCATGTTCTATTACTTTCTCCGAATTGTCTGGAAAAATGTGACAAATGTAAGCTCCTATTCCTTTTCCTGAAGCGTCGGCTGCAACTTTGATTGGCAGATCCGGGTTGTAGTGGGTTAAAAGGAGATCTGAATTTAAAATTTCCTTAAATTTTTCAAAGGATTATTGGCGTTCGTTTGACCATTTAAATTTGGTGTTATCTTGAAGTAGATGATCAAGAGAAGTTCTTAAATTGGTCATATTTTTAACATATTTTCCATAATAGTTTATGGATCCGAGAAATGATCTTAACTCAGATATATTTGATGATGGTGGTAGATCTAAAATAGATTTGATCTTTTCTTTATCAGGACGTAAACCCGATGAACACATGATATTGCCAAGGTATTTCACCTCTTTTGCAAAAAATGTGCACTTCTCAAATTTGATATGAAAACTATACTCACGAAGCCGTTGAAGAACTCTCTTTACGTTTTCGATGTGTTTTTCCACCGTTTTACCTCCAACGATTATGTCATCAATGTAGGCTGCTGTATCATCTATGCCCATTAACATGGTGTCCATTAACTGTTGAAAAGCACCTGGAGCACTTTTTACACCGGGAGCTAGACGATTGAATGTATATAACCCTTTATGAGTATTGATTGTCAGAAGTTTAGCTGAGTCTGGAGAAACTTCTGTTTGTAAATACGCGTCTGACAAATCAATATGCGTAAATAAACAACTGTTCCCTACTTTTGCATATAAGTCCTCAGGACGATGTAAGGGATACATATGTGGTTCTAGGCTGTCATTAAGACCAGATGAATAGTATCCACTTATTCTTACTTTTTCGTTAGGTTTCTTCACTGCAACAATAGGTGCTGCCCACTCTGAGTTATCAACTGGAGTCATTATGCCTAATGTTTCCAATCGTTGCAATTCATCTTCAATTAAAGTTAGCATAGCATAAGCAACTGGTCTCCTCACACGGAAAATTGTTTTGACGTTTCGTTTAAGTTGTTAATGTACTTGGGCTTTAGTACATTTTGAAGGAGAATTTTGAAAAATATCTGCATATTCAGATTTGATGTTATGTAGGACATTAATGTCAATTTCTTGATCCTTTATTTGAGAACATACACTGCTTAATGGTGTCCCATAGTCCAAAAATCTCAAGCCAATCTGAACCAAAAATTGAGAGAGTATCAATGTCTACAACTAATAAATTACAATGTTTTACATCACCTTAGAGTCGAACTTGACATGGAAACTCGGCTATGAGTTTGATTTGATCCTTTGAAGCGCTTGTCACATAACGATTTGACAGTTTTGTGCCTGGATTACCCATTTTTCGCCATAACGTTTTACCAATAATCGACACATCGATGCGGTATCGATTTGCATTTTTACATCTATATTTGTAGATGTTGTTGATGATGAAGGTATTATATTGACTGTGACAAATTTCCTTCTTGACTCATACGAGATCCGGTTGATTTGAACAACATTGGACTTCGGTTTTGAATATTTGTGATTCTTGTTATGTTTCTTTTTCTTTTCATGACTGAACTTGTTTTCTGACTGTTGATTCTTGCAGTAACCTTCTTTATGTCCCATATTTTTAAATTGTGTACAAACATGTTTTAAATAGGTGCAATATTTTGAATAGTGCATGGCACCACAGTTCCAACAGGGGGTTTTTGGCTTCGCCTTACCTTTTAAATCATTTGATTTTGGATTTGATTTTATAGCATTTATGGATGATTGTGTGTTAACTTCTACCAATATTGTTTAGTTTTCGCATTAGGAGTCTCACACGTGCAGCATCGTCCAAATCCTTGCCTTCTACGAGAAAAATATCTTCAAAACGAGCATATCAATTATTGAATGTTGATGAATTTGCTTGATCATAGCAAAATTCAGTTATGCTGTTTTATATTTTTTCCATTAGTAAACTTGATTGATGCTTGATGCATTTCCTTGGGTAAGGGTTGTAAGAAGTTTGCTTTGTAACTCCAAAAGTGCCAGGATTTTAATCCTCGTCGCCAATTTATTAGGGTTTGTATTAAAACAAATTATATTTTTATAAAATATTAAATAACAAAAAAGTTCTATTTATTTGAAAAGTCAAAGTAAGAATGAACAAATGAAAAATTATTTTTGAAACATGTATGAAATATTTCAATGTACTATTGATATAAATTAAAATTATAAAACAAGTTGTTATTGTTACAAGTGTCTCCAACATCAATCAATGTTCATTTACACTCTCTTTAACATACATTAACGTTCTGATGCTATTATAATTTTTATAGAGTATTAAGAATTGAATACAATTTTTGCATATCATCAGCTGTTTCCGAGCTATAGTGCATTATTTCTTCATTGCAATTATATTATCAAATCTTTATAATTTCAAAACCGATATTTTACTGAACATAAGCTACACAATCAGAAGATTATTTTCAACAAATTTCGTTAAAATGAGACCAGCCCTCAATTGTTTCCCAAATCCAAATAAAATTTACATACACAATAGCATTTTAAGAGCGGGTTTTTGAGTTGACAATCAAATGACAATTAATAATCAGATTAGTTAATCTAAAAATAAATTTAATCTGATGTTAATCCCCTTTGATTTTTTTGAGTACAAGATTAAACTTTGCAGTGTTGCCATACAAAACAACAGAAAACGTCACTGTTTATTATGAAAACAATGCATGTTTTATAAAAAAGAAGAAGACAATTGTAAATTTAATATGAAAATTAATGAAAACTGAAAACCAAAAAATGTATTTTGAAATCTCCATAATTTATAGTAATCAATACATCAAACATTTTTATGTTTATTTTTATAAAAATTATATTAATTTTTTTGTATCAGCTGTTTACACTTTTGCATTTCTTGCTCAAGTTTAAACCACCTCCATTGGACGCTTAAACTAGCAAACAAAATTAACTAACAGAGTACTCAATAACAACTTTCCAGGTTTAATCTTAATTTAATCCCTAATCGTTCAACTAAGATTGACCCTAAGTCATTATTTATTTATTTATTAATATTCTACAGAACAATGTTCGTAACATTAATTAATTTTAACACGGAGATGTCCTTAGAGGCAATTTATTACTACAATCGCTTACAAGTAATTAGAAAATTGTGTCAAAAATGTTTGGTTAGACAGACATCGTCAGGCGGAAATTCTGCAAAAAATATGATTGAAAGAAAAGTTATCACGAACATTTTTTAGGAAAAGGCTAATAATCTGCAAAAATTACCTTTAGCCAAACTAAATTTGATTCTATACAAAAATTGTAATCTACATATACACTATCGGACAAAATAAAGTGCAAAAGTACTCATGCTATATTCTTTCAGCGAAAAATCTTTTAAATGATTATTGAATATCGAAAATTTTTAAATTCATTTAGTTAATAGTTTGTACTTTACTATATAACATCTAAAATTAAAGTAAATTCACATTTCTGTCGGACAAAATAAAGTGTAAATTGTGTAATCATTATTTAAATTTCTTGTATATCAAAATTTGTTTATCTATTTTGGTTCTGATTTGAATATTCTTAAGCCATTTTGGTAATCCTTTTCCCATTATTATTCGCAATCGCCTCCCTTCCCCTTGCTTTTCCCATACTATTATTTTCAAAAGAAATCCGTTTTTGTTCACTATTTCATAGAAATTTTTTGATCATTTGTGGTCGAAATTTAATCTATTGGACTTTTATTTTTTTTTTTTTTCTTACAATAATGGTTTTTAACGTTTGTCGTGTGTTTGATGTCATGAATCTGTTGAGACATGAAGTATCTCAAGCCTATTTTTACGACATTTACTTCAAGATTTTTATTAAATATGGTCATGTATTGCTCATTTGTTAATATTTGCTCCATTTTCACTAGGGATGCCAAACGGGACTGGCTTTTACAAATCCCAGGATTCGGGATTTTGAAAATTGCAATCCCGGGAATTCGGGATTACATAAATTTAATTATTTTATATATGAAAATCTTTAAATCTTCATGTTAGTAAAGAAAATTGTTTAATTTTGTGGAAATTTAGCAGACAGAAGATATATTTATATTAAAACAATCTAATTAATTCCAATTTTCAAATAAAAATTTCATAATTTCTGAAACTTTTTATATTAATATTGAGCATCATTTTATATTAATATGAGCATCAAAAAAAAGAAAATAAAAAAAAATTGGTAACAAATCCCGGGATTCATTTTGAAAAATCTCGGGTTTCGGGATCGGGATTGGCATCCCTAATTTTCACTAAGATTCCCGCTCCTAAAGTTGAATATTGTACCAATACTGATAGCCCTCCACCATAATATTTAAAACCTGGGATATTGTTTTTAAATTTTTGTATCAAAGTATAACGACCCTGCCAGCAACTAAACTAACTTTAAATGCATTAAAAGCCGACTTTTTCATCAACTAATTATGGTTGATCATTGGATTATTTTTAATGGAACCAACTGACTATTTTAACATGGCGCAGTAGTCAATTGTCCGACTCTGCATGACTTTTCAACTAACTTAAAGTTAGTTACAAAAAGATTAGCTTAAAGTTAACTGTTTATTAACTAACTTAAAGTTAGTTGCAGAAAAGTCAATTGATAGCTTTCTTTTGTATTACCTACTGTATTAATTAATTACATTTTAATTAAATATACATATGTAAAATTTATTTACATTACCTAACCCCCTCATTTTATAAAACCAAACTTTCGTTAACGTAAAAAATTTGTATGAAGAATACTGGGATATTTTTGAAAATTTTAACTTTTTCATCCAAATTTTTTTTAACGTTTGTCGTTTCGTTTTATAAAATGAGACACTAAATATAATTAACATTTATTTAACTATTAGTTATCTAAATTACACTTCGCTTTAATAAAATATTCTTTAAAACCTTTTTTTTTTTTATAATTATGCAAAACATTTAAAAAAAAGAGAAATCTGAATGAAAATTAGTTCCAGTGCTTATTCTTGAAGCTATTTATGGCTCAAGTTCATTAGATCCACTAAGTAGTTGAAAATGCTGTGTAAATAGACACCTTTTTAAGATTTGGAAAGTTTATGTAATATTATCTGCTTTTTCAAGTCGTGAAAGTAGTTTGTTAAAATTAATGGACATCAGTTTTCTGCAGGGGAACTAATAATAACACCGGTATCCATGATTCCCATTGATCCAAATCTAAAATAAATTTAAAAATGTTATGTGTAATGTTAACTATTAATGTATTATATTTACAGTATCAATCAGCAGAATTTAGATTTTAGGGACCAAGTTTTACAACATGACAAAACATGTCGAAACAAAATGCTCTCCAGATAATTTTGGGGTAATTCTGCATTATATAATAGTTAGCTTGTAGCTAGTCTTTAAAAGTCGGTTGCTTACGTTAACAAATACCAAATTTTGGAACATTTCTGCATTATATTGTAGTTCGTTTATAGTCAGTCTACTAAAGTTAACAAAATAATAAATGGAGACACAAGAGAAAACATGTTGAAATAAAATTCTATCCAGATAATTTTGGGGCACTTCTGCATTACATGATAGCTTGTAGTTAATCTTTAAAAGTCGGTTGTTTACGGTGCAAAATACCAAATTTCGGGACAGCTCTGCATTACATTGTAGTTAACTTATAGTCAGTCTGTAAACTAGAAGTGAATTTTTCTCGTAGTCGACTAAAAATTGCTGGCAGGGAAGTAGACCGACTCTCACATATAGGAAATTACTCTCTCATATCTACGAGTGCCGTGTGAATTCGACTCTCTTGTGAGAAATTTAAACTTGTCAAAACACTCAAATGTTTAACTTACTTTTTTGGCGACTTTTAAGGATCGTACGCGAAATTGCAGTTATCAACCAAAAAAAAACTGCAATTTTTTAAAATAGTTTTAACGCACTTTTGATTTAGAATTTTGTTTATTTTTCTTGAACTGGAAAACAAATCTGTTTAATTATTGACATTTCATTTTTGTTGTTGAATTTTATTTTACAAACAGAGTTTAAATTTTTGGTATTGAAAATTCAAACAAATTTAAAATTGTAATTTTTTATAAAATTCTGTGTGTTTAGAATGCACCAATACAAATACATTTTTGTTACTAACACATATTTAGAGTTAGGTACTTTTTCACTAACACATGCTTAGAGTTAGGTACTCCTGTCAAAAAATCGGCTACTTGTTATACTTTGTTTTGTATATTGAAGGGCTTACCTCACACTCATTGTCGACATTTTAAAATTTTCGATACAAATTGGGACTCATCTGACAAACTACGTAAATTTGAGTAAATTTATGAGTTTTCTAAAATATTGAATACAGAAACATAAAATTAAAATTAAACACGCATTAAACGAAAATTTTAAAGGAAACTTTCTGGTATTTTTTTGTTCTTTTACTAATACTTTTCGAATTTTCGATAATATTGAACCTAAAAGCATAAAATTGGACACGCTGCTTCCTGATTGTATAAAAATCTGTATGCGAAGAATTTCTGGTTGAAAATTAAACTTGCATCATCCTGATTCAATGAAAATCTATAAAAAGTCATTGTCTGGTACTTTTTCGTTCTTAAACTTATTGAAATGGAACTTTCTGAGATTTTCAATATTGAACCTAGAAACAAGTATGAAAATCTCATAAAGGGGACTTTTTGATATTGCATTTACAATAATAACATTTATTTCATTCCATTGCGATGAGGGTAGTGAAGCACACTGGGTATAGCTAGTAACATATCAATTTGTAAGACACATATGTATATACGCAAAAACCGATATTTATAATAATTATCTCGCTTGATTGTGACATTTAGTCCTACAATTTCGACCTCAAGCTATCTAAAATTCCCCAGTTTGCTCATTTTCCGACTAATTATCCTGGGCTACATTTTGCAATAATTTACATATGTATATAAAACAATTTTATACATTTTGGATGAAGTTCAATTTTGGGTACATGCAAATGGGGCATAATACATTATTGTATATTCCTGTAGTTTTAAACATTTCATTTATTATACTTGGTTATTTTTATAGATTTTTGTAAGAGCACAATTTGATTATAACCCACTGGATGATGAGCTGATCCCGTGTGCACAAGCAGGAATAGCTTTTCAAGTTGGCGATATATTACAAGTAAGTTCAATAAGTAAACATCTAATATATTTATTTTAATACATACATACATACATACATACATACATACATACATACATACATACATACATACATACATACATACATACATACATACATACATACATACATACATACATACATACATACATACATACATACATACATACATACATACATACATACATACATACATACATACATACATACATACATACATACATACATACATACATACATACATACATACATACATACATACATACATACATACATACATACATACATACATACATACATACATACATACATACATACATACATACATACATACATACATACATACATACATACATACATACATACATACATACATACATACATGCATGATAATATAAAATATATATCCGAAGTTTAATTAAAATCGGACATTCATCGGACAACTTGAGGTGAACATTTTTAAAAGAAAAATTTTGTTTTTGATATGATAATTTATGAAATCCATTTTTACGGTCGATTTTCAATCTAATATGTCTAAAAATACAAACTTTATGTGGTCAAAAAGGGTTAATTCATAAGCTTTTATACCCAATATATAATTTTTTGTATTATTTCTGTTATTCCTCTAATTATATAGAGCATTATTGAAATGGATACTGTTTTTACGATTTTTTGAACTTTGGGGTTAAATTTGTCCCATGTATTTTAAAGGGTTAATTTTACTTTTATAGCTGTTATTTTAAACATAAGACTTTATACTAAAAATTCCAGTCATATTTATTAAATATGGCCAACAAATAAGTAATATTTCGACATGGTATACTGAAAATTCACAAATTTTGCAAAATTTTACCTTTGAGCTCCATATTTTTTGGAATATATATTTCATATTATCTGATCTTAAATACTCTGGAAATACTTTGTTTAAAATGTGCAACAGTAACTTGTATTTATTCACTTGTCTGTTGTCCATAAATCCCTATAAGATCTTCTAAAAACTTTGAAATTAGTTTAACAAAGTTTCAAAAAAAAACTGAAATTGGAGATTTGAAATGCCCGTTGAAGAAATCAAACTTTTTTGACTATAGCTGACGACAAGTTCGCGTTATCATATACGGACAAAAACTATTATTCGAGTAATTATAAATATATTTTAAGTAAGAAAATGTTATTTTAGAATATATCTCAAAAATAAGTAAATTTTTTGTCACATTTCGAATTTATGTGCTGTGAGACACGTTAATGGCCTGGGGAATTTGCAATAACTTTAAAAATTTGCAACCAATTTTTGGTGTTTATATCTTTCTGAAATGTTTATTCTGTGCACATTGCGATTCCTTTACAATAAAGTGCATAGTTTATTACTAAGTTGCAAAATTTGAGCAAAAACTGAAAAAAATCAAAGGTAAATTCAACCGAAAAACCATTTTAAATAAATGAAATTTCATTTCAAAAACGGACTACAAACTTTTCATTTAAATCAAATGAGTTCTTCAATTAATTTTGAATGTTATTTTTATAACTAACAAATTCTTTAGAAACAATGATTTTTTAATTTATTTTAACTAATAAAAAACAAACTACAAAATGCATGAAATAACTATTTTTGTCAGTAATTTTTACTGACGAATTTTTACCTACCAATTCATTAAAAACTACTGTTTTTTTCAATTATTTTAACTGACTATTTTTTACCTACCAAATCATTAAAGGCTAATATTTTTTTCAGTCATTTTTAAATTAAAAAACGATAAAAATATTTATTTTTAAATTTGTATGAATTTATTTAAAGAAATTTTTAAAATACATAGGTACACATAATAAACAATTTTAAGAACCGATTCCGTTCAACTTTGAGATATACAAGAACCAAACAACAATTCCTATATGGATTTGAAACTCGTCTATGTGTAAATTGATCCAGTCCTTGCTTTATGTCAGCAACTGGAATAAGAGAAAAGATAAGTGATGTAAGATACTTTATACATTTAGTATGTAGCAAAAGGCCGAAAGATTCCAACACTAAATATATTTTAAAAGTTAAAATAAAATTCCATCAGAAACAATTCTCGATTCTTTGGACAAAATTACAGGAAATGGTGCGGAAAATATTTTGACCAAGATTATCAGGAGCAAAATAACGGAACACACCGCTTTTCGCCGCAGCAAATCGCGGAACTAAAATCCAACACATTTTTTAATTTTTGTGAAATGTTTAACAAATTGATTTGTATACATAGTACATAATATGTACTACATATGTACATACATACAATTCGACTGCAGATTTTTATAGAATGCACACATAAGATATGTTATCATCACATGTACAGATCTCATTTTCTTTGAAGCAAATTGTTTATACATATCTTTATTTGTTTGGAATTTACATACTATTTTATTTTGTTTTAAATATATTTTATTCTTTTTTGACAATTTTTGAACAACATAAACAAATTTTCACCGAAAAGTTTTTATGTATTTTATAAGTACTTAAGAATTTTTATAAAAAAAATTACTGAAAATTTTAACTACACAGAAATTACATTTTTCTTTGTAGTTTGATTTTTGAACAACATACATAAAATGTAAAAAAAAAAATCATTTCCTTTTAACTTACTGTAAAAATTTTGTGAGTGTAGCCATGGAACAATTCCAGAGGGGGGATGGCCTGTCGAATAACATTTTTTTCCCTTCATACAAGCTTGGAGCACTCTAATGTACATATGATATCTTGAAAAAGAAAGAAAATACATATAACAGAGGTTAAACCTTTATTTTAAAGCCGAAAGGTTGGACTTCCAGATGACATATGACATTTTTTTTTCAAACTTGATGACATGAAATCTCGAAAAACAGATGTGATGGATATATTCGTGACGCAAAAGTAATCCTCCTATCAGAAAATGCTATAAATTTTGCGAGGCCCCTAATGTCAGTTTTGTTTACTACGCAAATGTCAAAACAGAACTGACATTAGGGGCCTCGCAAAATTTATAGCATTTTCTGATAGGAATATTACTTTTGCGCCACCTGTTATTCAACAGCAAGAAAACATGAAAAGTTGTGACTGTTTTTGCTTCTGCTGAAAAATTTACAAAGGATTTGTCTCGTTTGCGTACTAAACTAACGATAAATTAATTATTATACAAAAACAAATTTACAAATTTCGAATTAATAAATACATTTTTTTAGTTCATTTTTTTTAGTTTTTAAGCAAAAATTAGTTTACACTTTACAACTTTCGAAAAACATATGTATGAAAAAAGTTGTATGAGTTGTATAAAGCTTTTGCATTGTATGAGTTACAACGCTTAGTACGCTACAACGAAAACTGTGAACTGAATAAATGCGTACTTACATACAGATGTACATATATAGCCACTAAAATAAATATTGACAATTAATCATAATTTCTTTTTTACAACCGTTGCAGATAATTAGCAAAGATGATCAGCATTGGTGGCAAGCCCGTTTAGATGCTGTTGGTGGTTCAGCTGGACTAATACCTTCACCAGAATTACAAGAGTGGCGTATACGATGTCAAACAGTAGACAAAACTAAGAGTGAACAAGGTAATTAACTCATTTATGTATGTCCATTAAAAAAAACTTTCATTCATATATACCAACTCACTGTTTACTCTTCTCAAAATTTACATTGTTTCCCAAAATATTTTTTGTTTTTCCGATGGTCGTTCGTTTTAAAAAAGGTCTTCTTTTAGATATACATATATTTTTTAGATTTTAGTATTGTTAAAATATAGCGTATTATAAATATGTAAGGTTTACAAAAGCCGCGACCAATGTTGATTAACCATAAAAAATAAATATTTTAATTTTTAAATGGTACCCCCTTTGGGATATTTTTTGAAAACGGTCCTGCTCACGAACGGTCAACACTATACACAAAATATTTTGGATAACATATTTGAGAAGGGTAACTCAAACATAATTTTTGTATGTCGGTCTAATATACATATATGCATAACTATATACATATATATTTGCAATAACTTTTTGTGTATGTTTCAAACAATCAATGTTGAAAATTATATTTTAAACAAGTACATCAAAAATATTAACATTCATATTTATATTCGCCTGTATCTCTAAATTAGATGTTAAAATTTGTGTATTTGTTAGAAGTGATTATAAATATTATCTGCTTTAACAAAATTTAATTATTTCTACTCCTAATACAGTGTTGTGCAGAACATAAGCGATTTATTTTCCGGGAAACCGAAATAAATATATATTTTTTTACTTTTAGTACAAAAGGTTAAATATAACCAATAGATAAATATGCGGTAACATTTATAAATACACAAATAGACAAAAATGTCTAAAATTAACTGGTGTAGGCTCCGTGAAAAGGTTAAGAGCTTTGTGGTTACTTAGTGGGATGTGAGTGAGATATCTACAAAAAAAATTAAATCAAAAAGCTAAGTTTTTCACTTAAAATATATATTTTACATATGCCCCTTGCATCCCACTAAGTAACCACAAAGCTCTTAAAGGAAATGGTCTAAGCTTTATTTTGAGAAAAAAAAAAAACAAAAACATCAATTTTGAAAAAATATTTTTTTTTTTTTTTTTGGGTTTTAATTAGGATGGCGGTACATTAAGCACTCATATTGCCAGGTTGTCACACGTTTGTCCAGAGAAAACCCCACCAACCGACCTATACCTTCATATAGGAAGTTGGAGCATCCGGACTTAATTTCATCAAAAGTATTAATGGTCTCCACCAGAAAAAAGTTTTAGAGTTTTAATGGTCTCCACCAGTAAATATTTGAGTTTAAATGGTCTCCACCAGGTTATATCGTGAGTATTTTATGGTCTCCACCAGTTAAATACATAACCTCACTCTGAGGTAAAACGAAAGCACGCGTTTAATGAAGACAACGCATAACTTAGAACAGTTATACGAAGTAGTGCATTAAATTAGTGCGGGGTGAGAAGTAATTCTGTCGAAAGCCCAGCAACAAGCACAAGCCTGACCGTCCTTAAGAAATAAAAACGATGACGCGAGAGTTGTTCCCCAACTCAGACCTGAATTACAACTGAATTTTGAAAAAATAGGAAAAAAAAATTAAGTGACAAATATCAATAAAATTTTTTTTCTTATTCAATTTTTTTATATGTAGATATCCCACTCGCTTCTTATTAACCCTTTCAGGGTCAAAAATAATTTATGTCTAGAAAAAAACTTGAAAACTTATATTTAAGATAATTTGAGTATGCTGAATCCGGGAAAAATAATATTTTTTGAATTTGAGTTTTCCCTAGTGAGTTATAGAAGGTCAAAGTTAAATGTCGAATATATTCGACATTCGAAAAACAGTCTCCAAAAAGTACCACCAATATTTTTTATGAATTTTTTTTTTTTTTTTTTGGAAAATGTCTTCATAAACTTCTTTCAATACAATACAATTTAAATCTGCATAGTCCGATCTCCTAAAATACAATTTTTTTGGCCATTAAATGAAGCTGTTTTTTAAACGTTGTTAAAAAGCACTTTTTAAAAAGTAGTCATAAGTGACAATTTCTTAAAATCTGATTTTTAAATACTTTTAAAATACGGAAGATCTTTCAAAATCTCAATTATAAATATAATAAAGTCTTCATTTTCATCTAAAAGAAAAAAATTAAAACTAAAGTTAAATATTATACCCAAAAAATGCTTAAAAACAGAGTCTATTGTAATGTCGAATATATTCGACAAAACCACGGAAAGGGTTAAGATTCTATTAAGCCCTTAAAGGAAATTGTATAACCTTTCTTTTGAGCCAAAAAAGGGGCCATTAAAAAAATAGAGCAGATTTTTTGAGTTGGATCACTAAACACGAAATTGCCCATATATAGATACAAATATATTGTGAGATTGAAATATAGTAATATTTGATATAGTTCTTATATTAAATTTAAAATTATCAAAAAATATCAAAGGGTGAATGGTTTTGAGCTTTTATCGATGTACATAAATAGTTAGTTAAATTTCTTTTCAAGTTTAATAAAATGTGAAAATTTTTTTGTGCTGCACAATACTGTATTTACACTTATTACATATCTGTGGCAACAAAGAAAAAGTATATAATTTGCGATTTTTACGGATTTTTTTAATTTTTTTAATTTTTATATAAAAGTAAAGTAAATCACTTTTAAAAATGTCTATATCTTCTAAAGTTCTGATCTTTTTCGCCACAGATACATATATAAATCAAATAAATACTATATATGTATACAAACATAAGCAATCTGTTGGAATTTTATTGTCTTGTAGCTTTAAGTGGTTGGAAATGTAATATTTTATTTAATACACCTACATAGTTAAAATATACATTAGTGTGGGCCCAAAATTGACTTTTCTCTCAGATCAACTTCTAATATGGAAGACTGTAAAATATTATTCAATTATTTTGAGGGTAAGAGCCCGCGCATTGCCGCCAAAGTTTGTAAATGCGTTTATATGGGAAAAAATGGTACTTTTTTGAGTTTTTTTTTTTTGCACCATTTTATAGCAAAATCGTAACGTCTACAAAATTTTCTTTTCAAAAAGATAGAAAAACTCAAATTTGGTTAAAAAAGTTTTGAGTTATTAAAATTTCCCCCGAGAATTTTGTGATTTTGAAGACATATAAAAGTAAATATAAAAAAATTTTTTTTTAGTTTTGAAAAATTTTACAAAAAAAATTAATGTTTATCTTTATAAGATTCATAAATGTGCTAGTACGAATTTTTGTTCAAAATGGATAACGCTTACTCGGTTTAATTTGTGGTCAAAAAAGGGCCATTATTTTAACAGCATCTCCAAAACTCAATTTTCAAACTTTAAACTATTTTGTTAAATGGATTTTTAAAAATTAGAGTTTTCTATACTGGAAATTATAAAGGATATATAAGAATTAAACACAAAAAGAATGAGCTCAATACCTCTCATACTTTTACCGTACCTGCGATATGAAGTTGAATTTGAATGTTGTGAAAATAACTTCTAAGAAGTTTCATCAATATCTATCATCAAATTAACGGCATCATGCTCTTATATCTTCAAGAACATAAAATATTCCAAATTTTGATTTTGACCCCGGTGTTTAGAGGGTTAATGATTTTTAGTTTCGGAAATTTTATCAGAAATAACTTTAGATGGACTCGGAAATAATAATCGCAATTTACTTGATCAAAATTAAGCAACAATTTGTAATAATATAATTTTTACTTAATTATTGGCAAAAATTGCCTTTTTTCCGAAATCTTTCAACTTCACATCGTAGGTACGGTAAAAGTATGAGAGGTATTGAGCTCATTCTTTTTGTGTTTAATTCTTATATATATCCTTTATAATTTCCAGTATAGAAAACTTTAATTTTTAAAAATCCATTTAACAAAATTGTTTAAAGTTTGAAAATGGAGTATCCAATTTGAACAAAAATTCGTACTAGCACATTTATGAATCTTATAAAGATAAACATAATATTTTTTTTGTAAAATTTTTCAAAACTTTCGTATATTTCCTTTAATATGTCTTCAGAATCACAAAATTATTGGGAGAAATTTTAAAAACTCAAAACTTTTTTAACCAACTTTGAGTTTTTCAATCTTTTTGGAAAGAAAATTTTGTAGACATTACGATTTTGCTATAAAATGGTGCAATAATTAATACTTAAAGCCTTATTTTGTAAAAAAAAAACTCCAAAAAGTACCATTTTTTCTCATATAAACGCATTTACAAACTTTGGCAACGATGCGCGGGCTCTTACCCTCAAAATAATTGAATAATATTTTACAGTCTTCCATTTGAAGTTAAAATACAACATAATTTCACAATTAGAAGTTGATCCGAGAGAAAAGCCTATTTTCGACCCTCCCTAATATACATACGTATATTAATTAAGGTGGTCTTTTTTTTTAATTTTAAGAAATTTCCGAAATTTTAAACATTTGGTTGTAGTTTGCAGTAAATTCTCCGGCCATTGTCTTTCTAAGATGTGTTGTGAAATCAAATTAAAACAAATACTGAAAAAAATGTTAATTTTTTCCCGTGAAGTCAATGTGTAAAAATTACCTATATTTTGCGTAGTTCAGAAAAAAACGATGAAACCACCCTGTTATACATATATTTTTCTTAGATTTTTTTTTTAATTTCCATGATATGCATATCAGTGAAAAAATTATTTATTAGTACATGGCATGATTATTAAATTATTTTAAGAAAATACCCATCACATTTTTTTCGGTTTTATCTTTTATACATCACTTGATTTAGATCAAAGCACAGTGAGAATTAATAATATAGCTAATGTCCCACTGTGCATTTTTTATTCTCTTTATATCATCATGTAAAATATGTATACACATTAATTGTCCCCATATATGAACAGGAGAACCTGGTGCTGGATGTTCCGCTCACACAGATGGGTGTGATGGATCCGCAGGTATATAGTAGAATAAATGCCACACTCTCATACTCAGAAAAATGTCATATAAATTTTAAACTAACCGTCATTAAAATAGCCATTCAATATTCCGCCTTACACTTCCTTTCATTAAAATCATAAATAGTATAAGTAATATCTTCATTTAAAGTTTTTCTTAATTGAACACCACCTTCTGTAGTTGACAGCTTTCTCGAAGTATTGGCGTGCAATTTTCAAAGTTATTAACTAATCAGTATACCAAAATTATAAATGGGTTCTCATATATCATTTATAATTGTTTAAAGTTCATAGAGTACGAATATACCCAATAAGCATTAAAAAAAAACTTAAATAAGTTTAAGTGCTTTATAATAAAAAAATAAAATTATATACATACAGTGTCGGACAAAACTATAGCACGAACTTTTACTTATTAGAAAAATTCTTACTAAAATTAGAAAAATTGGTTATTTTGTAATTTAAATTATTAGTTTAGAAAGAATATAGTCTAGAAATTATAAAAACGATGAAAAATAATGTTATTTAAAACTTTAATACATTATTTTTGAATAAATTACATAAATTAGCCAAAAATAAAATTATATACATTCAGTGTCGGACAAAACTATAACACGAACTTTTACTTATTAGAAAAAAGCTTACTAAAATTAGAAAAATTGGTTATTTTGTAATTTGAATTATTAGTTTAGAAAGAATATAGTCTAGAAATTATAAAAACAATGAAAAATAATGTTATTTAAAATTTTAATACATTATTTTTGAATAAATTACATAAATTAGCCAAAAATTGTAGCGACAAAACTAAAGCACATAACCTTGGATATATTAAATTTTAGGAAACTATTAACAACATTTGCTATTAAATAAGGAAATAAAATCTCTTGTAGACATTTTAAGAGCAAACTTAAAGTAAAGTGAATTTATACCATTTTTAAAGTAATTTTTGATCATTCACCTTTGCAGTTTGTCTTCAAGTGAAATTATTTACTAATTCATTAGCAATTTTTGTTAAAAGTTTCTAAAAATTCAATAAAACTTAATATATTCAAAGTTATGTGCTTTAGTTTTGTCGCTGCAATTTTAAGCTAATTTATATTTTTTGATCAAAAACAATGTATTTTCATTCTAAACAACATTATGTTTTATTGTTTTTACAATTTCTAGACTATATTCTATCTAAACTAGTAATTTTAATTACAAAATAACCTATTTTAATAATTTTATTGAGCTTTTTTCTAAGAGGTAAAAGTTCGTGCTTTAGTTTTGTCCACCACTGTATGTACATTAAGGTGGCCCGTTTGTATGGAGGAAAAATTGGGTTTCAATGTTCCCAACTAAAATGAAAGTTTAGTTGATTTTAAGATCCCGTTTCTCAAAATTTTTGTCCTGGCGTAAAAAGGATAAGAAGGTTCTTTTTTGAGGTTTTTATGATTTTTTCATATTTCTTTCAAGGGAATGATATGAAATTTTGGTGTCTTAAGAAAGGTCCTTGAGGTACGCTTTTAAGGGCTTATCAGAAATTTTTGTGCAACAAATTTTAAAATTTTTCGGAAAAAATAATCCTCAATAAAATGTACCGAAACCGTTTTTTCCGTTTGTCAAAATTCAATCTAGATCAAATTTTATTTGAATTTATCGAAGCCTATGTACGCTACCAAAACATTGCAAAAGAATGTAAACATCAACATACAAACCGTTATCAACAAAAAAACGTAACAAACAAGTAGATTTTTAGGATAAATTGTGTTAATATTTTAGTTAAACTGAAAAATTGTATTTATAATAGAATGAAATTATAAAGTGTAAGTATACCAATGTAAAGCTAAATAATTGCGCTTATATTACTATACACATATTAAGTACGTTAGATAAATATAGCTATTAATATCAATACATACAGTATTGGCCAAAGCAAATGCACCTCCTTATTGAAGTTTTCTTTAAAGTAGTTCTAGTTATTAAAAAGAAGGCAAATTTTGAAAGATATTTCACTTTCTGTTTATAGTTTTGGTAGATCTTTAAAAAACGGTAGCACCCTCATAAAAATTATTTTTTAAAAGACCTGCCAAAACTATAAACAAAAAGTGTAATATCTTTCAAATTTGCCTTCTTTTTAATGACTAGAACCACTTTAAAGAAAACTTCAATGTGGGGGTGCTTCGGTTTTGGCCGATGACAATTTATGACACTAATGAAGTAAATTAACGTTTTGTTGAAAACAATAAATTTATCAAGTTTATTTCGATTAAAAATCATAATCTCAGTAGAATCGTTTCGAAATAGGTCTCAAAAAATCAGTAATTTCAAGCTGATTGCTGGAAAAATAATTTAAAAATTTGTTAGATTTTGTTTTTGGAAGGAAATTATACTAAACTACTTAGCTATACCCATTGTGCTTCGCTATCCTCATCGAAATAGAATTAAATAAATATTATTATTGTAAATGTATATACATATACATATCTGCAATATCAAACATATACATATCTGCAATATCAATTTTATGTTTTTAGGTTGAATATTATAGAAAATTCGAAAAGTATTAGTAAAAGAAAAAAAAGTACCAGAAAGTAACCATTTTAAATTTTCGTTCCATCAGGATACTGCGTGTTTAATTTTATATTTATATATTCAATATTTTAGAAAAATCAAAAAGTACCAGCTGAAGTACGAAAAAGTACCAAAAGCCCTCTTTTATTCAATTTCATGTTTTTAAGTTCAATATTATAGAAAATTCAAAAAGTACAAAAAAATACTCCAGTTTAAATTTTCATTCACTCAAGTCCCTGATTGCTTAGTTTTATGTTTTTAGGTTCATTATAATAGAAAATTCAAATAGTACCAGTTGAAGAACGAAAAAGTACCAAAAAGTTCCGTTTTATATGTTCTCACTTACTCCGGGCCCTACATGTTTAATTTCATGTCTATAGGTTCAATATTATAGAAAATTCAAAAAATACCTTTTGAAGAACGAAAAAGTTCCAAAAACTCTCCTTTATCACTTACTCAGGGCCCTACATGCATAATTTTCTGTTTCTAGGTTCAATATTATAGAAAATTCAAAAAGTACCAGTCGAAGAACGAAAAAGTACTAAAAAGTCCCCTTTTATAGATTATAATTTACTCCGGGCTTTAAATGTTTATTTTTATGTTTCTAGGTTTAATTTTATAGAAAACTCAAAAAGTACCAGTCGGAGTACGATAAAGTTCCAAAAAGTCCCCTTTTATAGATTCTCATTTACTCCAGGCTCTAAGTGCTTAATTTCATGTTTCTAGCTTCAAATGTACCTTTTGAAGAACCAAAAAGTACCAAAAAGTCCCCTTTTATAGGTTCTCACTTAATCCGGGCTCTACATGCTTAATTTCATGTTTCTAGGTTTAATATTATAGAAAATTCAAAAAGTTCCTTCTGAAGAACGAAAAAGTACCAAAAAGTCCCCTTTTATAGATTCTGATTTACTCCGGGCTCTACTTGCTTAATTTCATGTTTCTAGGTTAAATTTTATAGAAAACTCAAAAAGTACCAATCGAAGGACGAAAAAGTACCAAAAAGTCCTCTTTTATAGATTCTCATTTACTCCGGGCTCTTCATGCTTAATTTCATGTTTCTAAGTTTAATTAAAAAAAAAAACTTAAAAAAGTACCTTTGTAGAACAAAAAGTACCGAAAAGTCCCTTTATATATATAAATATCACTTGGCACCGGTGTTCCAAATAACACCCCATTAGCATATTTAGTGTTTCTAGATCTAAAATTTTATATAAATTGAATCATTGTGTTTGAATAAAAAAAATCCGTCTTAGTTTATATATTTGGTGGGAGACCAACATCCTGTCCAAATTTCAGCTCTTTAGTTTCAACCGTTTAGGCGGTGCGATGATGAATCTGTCAGTCAGTAACGTTAGAATATATATATAGATATATGAAAAATAATCAATCCCTGATTATTTTTAGATTATTTTTAATCGCAATCAATAATTAATTCAAGAAATTGAAAATAATCGATAATTAATCAATAATTTTACCTTTTTAGTAAAAATAATAATTAATAATGATTACGATTATTAATCATTATTTTACAGCTATGATTAAAAATAACGAACGAAATATGTAGGTTTTACGTTTTTGTAAAGTAAAACTAAATTTTCATGTGAATGGACCAAAAGAGCTTTATTTTCCCATATATGTATTTTTTGTTTTTCGTTTGGCAAAGAACATCGAATATTACACCAAAATACGAAATTAAATGTGATCATTTAAATTTGGATTCAATTTGCTTTATAATCTTACAAAAAAAAATAGTTTTGCGCTATGATTGTATAATTTTTGTTAATAATTTCCAAAATAGTTTAGGTTCAGTGGTAACTGTTGTTGAGCTATCCCGATTTTAAAAAAGGTATTGTTTTAGTTAGTTATTTAAATTGTTAAATTGTATACAAGGTTATCTTTTGAAAGGATTTTGCAACGTTTAATTGTGTCCTTAGGTTTAGGTTAAGAAGGTTTATGCGCCATAAAAAGGACAACATACACTCGGAGACCATAAGGTCCATTTTGATTCCCTTCAAAAAGACTGAAGATCTTGGACAGGATAGAGCATTAATTACAATCATTACTGATACGGACAGCAACAGGCAATTCTATCGTGAGGCATTTTGGGGTCGATCAATTTGATATAGGATTTAACAGGAAGCTTTTAGTTTTGGTTGTACATTTTTCTTCAATTTGTTTCTCTTTATTTTGTATGTATGTATGTATGTATGTATGTATGTATGTATGTATGTATGTATGTATGTATGTATGTATGTATGTATGTATGTATGTATGTATGTATGTATGTATGTATGTATGTATGTATGTATGTATGTATGTATGTATGTATGTATGTATGTATGTATGTATGTATGTATGTATGTATGTATGTATGTATGTATGTATGTATGTATGTATGTATGTATGTATGTATGTATGTATGTATGTATGTATGTATGTATGTATGT